ACAAGTGAGGAAAGGTAAGCAATAGAGATTTCTCAGGTTCCCAGATTTATTTTTCACACTAAATAACTCCATCCTTTTCCAGAGCAGGACAGTGCTTTAGCCTTGCTTAACTGGTGGTTGAATGATCACTCTGAAGAACTCTTTCACCAACAAAATCCACCCATATAGGATCCTATAAACCATCTGATACCACTGATCAAATATACTTTTTCTTTAATTAATGCAAGTGGCAAAGAGAGATAATATGTTCTTGTTTGATAGCACTGCTAACTATACAAGCTGCAACTTGATAAAAAACAAGCCTTAATTATGCCTTGATAGCATGCTACAAGTTGCCCCAGAATGAATCATAGTAAAGACTGTCACATGTCTTCTTAACCTATAATGAAAGTGTTCTTACTAGTTCCTTTACTTGCTAAAATATCCTTTTCTATTTTGATGTTCCTAGAGTGAAAAATAAAAATAAAAACCTAATTAATGTCTCCTTTCAAGCTGAAAGCCAGCTTACCTTTTCCTTCATTTTACCACAGCCATTTCCTTTACTTTGCTTAAAATTATAGCATTGAAGTCTTTGCCTATAAATGAAAGGAGCACTGTACCTTGCCACTTACTTCAACCTTGTTTCTTTAGTATTTTGAGTATAAAGGCATTTTCCGCTGTGCTGGAGACTTTCTAACAGTTCAGTAAATTTATTAATGTTTCCATGATTGCAAGCACTATACATTTTTGCAGTTCAGGTTACTTCTATTTGCATGTCTTACTTCTTTGCAAAAGTATTAGGATTTGATGAACACATGGAAACAGATTCTGGTTTTACTTCATGGTGCTGGAAATGCAGACCAACTTCCACAGGCTACACTCAATTTAGTAGAGATTTATATTGTGATAACGGAATACAGAGTGACCTTTGACTTCCACAACACCATTTTCCTAATTTGTATTTATCTGGTAAGTTAGTTGCTTGTAACTATGGTAGCAGATTATATAGGAAACTTCATTAACAAGTATGGCTTAGATTATAAATGTTCACGGTTCAGGAAACTAAATATTATTCCCCATGAAACCCTAACATGGGCTTTTTACTATCCTTTTAACATGCAGAAAGTAAAAGCCATTTCTGTTTTTCAGCAACACTGTTTTCCTAACTCTTGTATCTCCTTAAAAAATTATGTTATATATGTGATGAACAACTACTTGTTCTGCAAGCAAATAAATGAACAGTAGACTATTTCATTAGTATTAAGGGACAAATTAAATAAAGGGCAAAATGTCACTGAAAAACTACCTCTGAATTAATGAAATATACTTATATATTGTTTTGTGTAATATAGTTTTTTCTAAAAAGACTGTGTTTAAGTCTAGTTTTTTCCAAAAGTTAAACCCACAAAATGTAACTAAGATCGAGTCCAGAAAACAAAGACAAAAATCCTGAATGAGACCAAAATCAAATTCTAATTCCATTCCTTGATCATGTATGAGAATTATTTTACATGCAAGCAAGGCTTTATTACAAGAACAAAAACAAATTGGACACTATAGTAGACAGTGTCCAGGATATTATGAATACATTGCTAATAATTAAAATTACATGTGAAGCTAAGATAAGGAAGAGAGTATGAGATACAGAATATATAAAATATATTGAAAATAAAAACAAGACTAAGCCAGTAAAAACCTAAGCAAACATCTGAATTATGTAGCAATTATTGGACAATGTCCAGCGTGCTGCAGTAGGGAACTGATGACAATGCATTTCTAGTCCATTCAAACAAAAATATTTCTCACAATGACAAAATTGGAAGAGAATAGACTAAAGCTGGCATGACATCGCTTTTAGCCTGATTTTATTGATATTTTATAATTATGCAAAATTATGCACTATATAATAGGCATGAGAAAACAGCTACGTAAAATAAGCAGCCATACCAAGTAATGTGTCCTTTCCGTTTTCATAAATTCTTATACCTAACCACCTTTCTTCTAAATTATTATTTCCAACTGAAGAACAGTTAAATGAGAATCTTATATAATTTATGAGTTACTACTAAAAGCAATGCATTAAGGCTCCTGAGATTTATGTAGTATTAAGAGATGTTAAAGTTCTATTTCTTGCACAGAAATTTGAGAGCTTTAAGAGCTGCATCCTTTGCCAAAAGCATTAGCATTCAAGTTAAACTCTCACTAGCATGCTTAGTTCATTAAGATTACCTTTTTTTAAGTGCATATACTGCCAGAAGCAAAACACAAGTCTGGACTCATAAACTGCAAAACATCACTGCTGTCATTTTGTTACTGCTTCCTCCCTTTGCCTTAAAGCTGCACATAGATCACCTCCATGTACCTCACATGCTCTTCTAATGCTTCAGTAAGCTTACAAATCTTATCTTGCAGCTTTCCTTGTTTTCATTTCTGTATTTTTTACTTGCTGCCCAAACCGTTCTGAGTGCCCTCAGCACTCAGATTGCACATGAGGTATTATAAGACCCATTCACAACCTTCATGGGGATTCACTGGTGTGGGTCTGATACAAGAAATAAAAGCCTCAGAAATAATAAACTACTAGCAAAACCAGATCTCCCTAGAGATCATCCTCTAGAGTTTCATAGGGTCTCCTTGCCTGTGTTGGTAGTGTAGACTACAGATCCCTCAGGGCAAGAATCAAGTAATTTATGACATAATTAAAAAAAACAATGGCATTATACTAATTCATTCTTCAAAGAGATATCCTGAGATAATGGTACGTATCAGTCACCTAAATCTGCAAACAATACACTATCTATGAAAAATATCTAGTTGTCAGTCAAGGTAACTTCCCAGTACCACACACGCAGGTCAGTAACCTGGTCCACTCACTTGTGTTTTACAAAATCAACATAGTCAGGGCAGTTTAAACACCCAATTTACAGATGTTTAAAGTAATCCTGTTAGTATTTTCTTTGAACACTTCTAATAACTGTTTACCCACTACAGGGTGCGGCGAACAGAGACTTTAGAAATCAGCAGCCCTGTTTACATGGTAGCAGATGAAAAGCAGGCCCTAAGAATCTGCTTCAGACAACATCAGATTGTGCCACAACCACTGAGGGGGAACACTACAAGGCTCCATCCCCAGCACCCACTGGAGAAAACATCCTGGGAAATCAGAAGCCTCAACTGAGACAGAGCTCCAGAGGGAGGGTGCTGCCACCCAGAACTCACGCTTCAGGGTGCCAATGGCATTACAACAGACAATGCTCTGGTTGAGGTACTGAGTCACCAGCAAAAGGAGCCATGGGAGGATGTGAACAGTCTCTGCAGCATCATGAAGAACAAACAGGACACGAACAGCATCACCTCAGGGACCATGCAAAGATTTCTGGAGCATGTTGGGGTAAATTTCTTCATGCAAATATTACATGTGTCATCTCCCAGATTGGTTACTCAGGAAGAAGGAAGAATTGGTGGGGGTATGCTGGTCCACCAACTGAGATACTAGTGTAACACACGTGTTTTGTAACTCTCTGAACAAAGGCCCATAGAGCATCTCCAAAAACTTCTCTAACAGGAAAACCCCTGCAACTGCTAAGAAGGCCACCTCTGTACACATAGGAATGATTTATCACCATTAACAGACGCACACCATTTCCTTTGCATTTCTCTTCAACATATAACCTAATCATGCAGACAGGATGGCTCCTGTGCATCTCAGTGTTTTCATTCTCTACACACCTAGGCTTTAAAGCTGACGGTGCTCATGGAGCTTACTAAGTGGGAAGGAAGACAAGAGCCTGGCCACCAGCACTTCCTGAACACAGAGCTTCCTAAGTTGTCAGGAGTGTGCAGATTGTGCACAGTAGGAGACAGCCCTTTTCCTTATCCAGCTACACTTTACAGAAGCATCTGGACATGAAGCACCCTAGAAGAACACCACTTAAACAGCCTTCCGTTTTGAAGGTTTACAAGATTACAGTATTTTTAAAGCTGTATCAGAAAACCATACAAACCAATGCAAAGAATATTTTTATTTTAAAAAAAGAACAAACAAAAACTTAAAATGTCTAACATTAACCTTAACTTCTATCGAAAAATAAAAGCACAGCCCTCAAAGTTTCAATCTGGATTAATCTTTTACGGATTGGATCATACACCATCTGCTGCTACTTCAGGAAAAAACCCAGCTGGTTAGTTGATCATCATATCTACCGCAAGGCTACCCTCCTTTAAAAAACTTAAAGGAACTTACACAGGAACTTACCAATAGCCTTTGTGTAATGTCTGGCTCCAAGTAATAGCTCTGGAGCTCTGTACCAGAATGTCACCACAACTGGATCCAAGTCTGCCAATGGCTTCAAAGGTGAGTTGAACAGTCTTGCAAAACCCATATCAGCTAGGGGCAGCAGCAGGGGGAGAACATGTAAAATTTTAATACAAAGAAATCAGAATCTAACAGTATTGCTAAAAAAGCAATTATAACACAAGCTCAAAAAACATTAAAACTTACAAACCAAAGTTTCTAAGAAAGTAAGAAGTTACAACAATACTGGGCCAAATTTATCTAAGCTTAAATTCCATTCACTTAATTTATAAGACTATGAAGGATGATGTTGGTCTTTTAAGTTTTTTCATCATGGTATTGTAAAACTTTACATAACACAGACGCCTAATTATTTATATAGAACTGTAAGAGAAAACTGTTTAACTGAAGTCAATAGTAGATCTGTAATATACATTTTCTCTTTCATTTTTATGTATGTTTACAGAACTGTGAGCCTTTGTGACTGCTACATATTCACCCACAGAGCAAAAACAAAACTACTCCAATGTAGATCATTTTGCACTATTTTTGTAGGTGCGCCTGAGACATAATTTGGAGGAACAAACTCCAGAAGCAGAAAAAAGTTTTTAACTGTAACCAGTGAAATCTGTGAGTGTTCACTATTGCAGAAGTGTATTTTAAATGTAAGCATTTAATTTATGTAACTCAAAAATTCCCTCTAGAAACAATCTTGTGACATTAAGAAATGTTAGACAGGAAAATACAAAATTTGGGTCTACATTCAAAACCACACATTTTAATCCAAGTCTGAAACTTATCTTTTACACAGCTTCACTTAAATCTTTCTGCTTCCAAAGTTATAAAATGCAAAGCATAATTTTCTTGGAGTTACCTAACTAATACAAGCATATGTAACAAAAATAATTCGCTGAGTATTTTCAAATACAACGAAAGTCAATGAATAGAAAAGAGGTTTCAGCATGCTACCTCTTTCTCAATGATTGCCACATGCTTTATTAAAAACTTTACATTCACATGACTAAGAGGCTTATGATCTCAACAGGTAATTAGATTTCGGATAAAGACCATTACAATTACATGTGTTTCCCACCTTGACGCCAAATAGCCTTTTGCATAGCAAACCTTTGGACTTCTACAAACACAACACATCATTGATGTTATTTATACACAAATAATTAAGAACAAATGTAATATATAAATAACAATATCGTCCTAACTAATCATACTAGGAGTCAAAAGAACCCTGGCTATAGCCATTGTTCTACACGCTTATTACTTTCTTGTTTCCTACAGATGCTCTCATCTCATCAAATATCCTTGGCAAGCTTTACAAATGCCTACTGTGTTTGGAATCTCTCAAGCTTGTAAACTCAGTGAATAAGACTTACAATTGAACTAGATGCTGTGCACACATACGCTCTAAGAATAACGAAGACTTGTCTCCACCTTACACTGAAGATGCATTTTTAAGTAATTACTTAGCTGTGCAATGAAATTATTTTAAAATGTTTACCTATTTTGACTCTTCCTCTTTCAGGACCTTCACCCATAACCAGAATGTTTGCTGGTTTCTGGAAAACAAAAAGCAGCATATTTAGTTGACCAGTCTTTGATGATTATCTCCAAGAATACCTTTATTCTAAAATGAAAACATTTCTATAAATACCTTTTGAAGTCTAAAATTACCATACCTTTATGTTTTGACGACATTTAGGTTTTACTTCTAGTTACCAATCTCACAATTAGAAAAATAGTAAAGTGCTTTGACATTTCACAGTAAGAAATACAATCTTTAATTAAATTTGCATTCCCATTTTTACCAGAATGGTCACATTCACTGGGGAGATTTTCTTCTGCAGGAAAATTTTATACCAGGCTAGCAGTTATGCTACACATCAGTGATCTGGCAAGAACTACTTTTGCTTGTATAACGTATTGAAAATGATGCCAAATCTTGGTATTCAAATACACAGATGAGAGTTGCTTTTGTTATCATCATATATAACTACATTTTTGGACCTGTGCTTGGTTTTGGTGTACGAATGATTAAAATCACATTGGTAAAACTGCTTTTTTCCACCAACTAAGTTGATTTCATGCTCTGAGAATTCATTTAAAACATGAGTATGCACAGACTACATCCACAAGCTTTTGACAGTGTAGATAGCAGCTTTACAAGTAGAGCAAAAACCTTCATAGGAATTTTATGTGATCTGGAGTTGTTCACAAGCAGCCACTTGTGAACACCATATAAAATCTGCACATGACATCACAGCAATTGTTCTGCAATTAGGACCTAGGTTCCCTCAGACATCAATAGTCATTCCTTGGAACTTTTTCCCCTATTGTGCTAAACAACTGTAAAAAAGTAAACAAGTTTGAAAATATTAAGTGATTTGAATGAAGAGATGCACTCAAAGCAGACTTTTTGGAAGGTTCATCTGAACATTAATTATATTAAAAATCTCTAATGCCTGAAGAGGTCTGCTCGAGCAGGAGTTTTTCAAGAATCTAAGAGATGTCCAGAAAGCCAACATCATAATCTCCATTTCTAAGTTCCTAACGCTTCCCACTATTTACCTGAAATGAGACGCACAAACATAATTTGGCTCAAAATTACAAATCCTTAATATTTTTAAAAAGGAAAAACCACCAAAAAACAAAATCACTCTTCTTTCTCCCTCCCACACCTCACCCCCAGTGCTAGACTGCTTCTTCCCTGGCTCCAGTCATAGTCTCTCTTTCCAGATGTCATTGCATCTTTTATTCCTCCTTTTTTAATCTCAGGATAATTCTCAACACCATCCCAGTGTTTGACCACCCTCACAGTGAAAAACAGTTTCTTCATACATCTGATCTACACCCATTCCCTCTCAAACTGTCACTGGATATCATTGAGAAGAGTCTGGCTCAGTTTTCCTTACTCCTGCTTATCAGGTACGCATACACACTGGCAAGATCCTCTCTAAGCCTTCTCTTCTTGAGGCTGAACAGTCTCAGCTCCCTCAGCCTCAAAAAGACACTGAATCCCCGCTAAGCAACTTAGTGGCCCTGTACATACAGGGGATACACTAGATGGGAATCTATGGAAAGAAAGGGACTTGTCCACTGATGTATTTTTACATCAGAATGTTTTAAAAAGATGTTGTTCCACTTAAATTTTAAATATGTAATCCACTGAGGATCAGAACCCTGCTCAGAAAGCTGCAGAGAAGCAAGCTAATTTATAAACTTACCAGATTTCATGTTCATTAGCTCTACTGAATCTCTCCATCTGAGAGAGTCATGGCAAGGAAAAGAGAGGGAAAACAGAGAAGGAATAAAGTGGGAAACAACTGCAAACTTAGTCTTATTTCCAAAAGAGCAAGTGCTTCTCGTGAGGTACCACCACCAATGTGGAGATGACAGGCATTTTATGGATGGCATCCTGGTGCCTGTGGGATCCTCACTGACCCACAGGCTGCTGTCTCAATAACAGCTTGCACCATGGTGACTTCCTGCAAGGCGAGAAGTCTTGGTTCAAACTTGGTTCAAAAGTCAGAAGGAGAAAACATCTGAACTCTATTTTCCACGAGAGCAAAGTATCCACTTAGTTATTTGGCTACTAAAAAGGTAAGAACTTTCCAAATTCCTCTTGCTAATCAGAGCTGTTCTGGTTAGGAAAGCATTTTCAACTGTATGTACGCTGAATCAGTTAAGAGTAACACTAACCTGATAGGACCCATCCTTCTGAGATGAGACAAATGTTATCCAGCTCATGTACCCATGAATTTTTACTTAATGAAAATAAACAGCTTCAGGGCAGCTTAAAACATAGGTTGGGTTTTTTTTATGTGTGGTTATTTTATATAATAGTAGGTTACATACTGTAAAGTAAAACTCCTCACCTCCCCAGACTCCTCATGATACACAAGCCACACTGAGAACAACCCGACCCTCATGGTTTGGCTGAACAAGTGGCACCAAGGTAGAGTAGAAGAACTTCAGGTGTTCATGTATGGAGGAAAGACCTTGGGTTATTTCAGAGGGATTAATTTGGCGTGAGAGATCCTCAGGGAAGTAAGTAATGAATGTTTCCATCATGAGGTAAGAGAGAGAACTGCTAAGGGGAATGCAAATAACTTCTGCGTTTTGGAGAAGGGAGAACATGTTAGTCTAATCTCCGGATATACAGCAGTTTAAGTATCAAAACATTTTACTCTGAGATCATCACTTAATAGTCTGCTATAGAACTACAGTCTAGTATAATATAGTTACTATACAGTTGCAAAAAACAGATTAAAAAGTGGGAATAAGATAAATTAAAAAGCCCTGTACTTCATGTATGTGCAGGCTACATGCAGGTTATAAGCACCTGTCTAGTTCCTGAAACAAATCCTACTGCTGTTCATGTGATGAAGAAAATGGGATTTTAAGAGGAAACAACCATGAAGGCCCAAGCAGCTAAGAGACCAAAACCTGACACATACTTAAAGTAAATCGTATCTGTCTCTGAGAGGTCAGAATTTTATTCAAGAAAGTTTGAGATGCCCTGATTAAAATCATTAAATAACACCTTAGTAAAGGGTGAGGAAACTCAACAAGAATTACACTTCTGAACCAGTTACATCCCAATTAATATCCTATTTTCCTCAAACTCCCCCTTTGCTGAGAACACAAAACACCAGCTGTGAAGCAAAGTGATGATACTGCATCTTTACCTATCTAGTTACTATAGAAACAACAGAAACAGTAAGAGTCAGAAACCTCACACTTAAGATCAGCTACAAAAACGAAGAGACAAATCCCTGCTGAGAAATACAGTTGAGGTTGTACTGTCTAAAGAACATTTGCAAAAAGAGCAAGGTCAATAGCAACAAACAACTGGAGCAAAAATCCAAAATATCTGCAAAAAGGGATGTAGCTGATAATGGTTTCTTTACAAATAATATGCACAGATAATAGTATTTACTTTTATCTATCAGCGGGAGAGTAGGAATAAAGCAATTAACAGATCTTGGTGGGAGAGAAATGAAAATGTTGGGCTAAGAAGTATCTTTTCATAAATAAGAGTCATGAATGGGACTCATACGGACATCCATATTATCTTAATCAATATGCTTCCTATTTAAATATTTAGGCAGTAGATCAGAAGAAATGCATAAGGAAAAGAAACCAACTATGGACTTGAAAGAGCATAATGGGTCAAAACAAGAAAAACAGTCTAACAATAGATGGCAATACTTTAGTTTTAATGGTTATTGTTGTTATCTCCATAAGTACAGTGGTGACACAATTCTTCTGAGATTTGGTGCAGAATTACAGTCCTGTGAGAAAACGACCATAGGGACATACCACTTTTCATACACCATTCTTTATTGTTTATATCCAAACAAATGTGTTTCCCGTTTGGAATGTATCACGGGACAAAGAATAATCTGAAATTAGGAGGCTTCTATTGTAAAAGAGATTGAAAGTCTTCCAGATAAAAGCTCCCTCCACAATTACAGAAACTGGCTTGTGATGAGGTCTTTGCAAGTCTCGATTATTTTGAAAAAGCAATTGCAAATAGCAGAGTGTTGGTACATAGATGCACTTCTCATTTCACAAGCCAAAACAAGAGCAGTGATGATTTTATCTTTAGCTTTTAGCACACTGCTCTACAAATGACAAAGTTCTTTAGTAAGACGACAGCGTTCCACTCCACAGGCACTACTCAAAAGACCACTGAGCCTTCAGGTTCAGGATTAGGAGGGAGCTGCAGATTGTTCAGAGAAATCCATAAACAAAGCTTTTGTTCTTCTCACCTGCAAGGAAACGTAGGAACTTCCCTGCCTTAGGTATACACTGTTCAGACTCAGACATTGTCTTCAGATCAGTATACTGGCACACTGGTACCAACGTTTTTGCATAAGATTTGATCTAATTTATGTAGAGTTTAAAAAAAAATGGTTCTTAAAAGATTTTATTATGCACTGCAAACCTCCAAATCATTATAACTTGCATTTTAATTACCTTCCATATATTGAAATACATATAGGAAAAATTGTTAGCCTTACACACTGTAAACTCACATTAAGAGTCACTGTTCTGATTACACAGAATCACTTTCAATTTGGTTTTTTGTCAGTTGTTATCCTTAATTTTCAAAAAAATCACACCCTATCCCATTGTATTTTTTGCCTACCAGTGTAATCCATACAGTTTACTAACAGTTTCTCTACTCTGTTGATATGATTGACCTTGCAAAGCAGTATCATTAACAAAGCCCATCAAGATAATTATCATTCAATTCAAATCAGTAACATTTCTACAGATACCATCAAATAAAGCTGATCACTACAGTGCATGAACTAAAAAGGTAGCAAAATCACAAGGAATGCAAAACGCTTTGAAGAGATAAATCATTCAACTGAACTCAAAAATTGTTTATATCTAAAAAGGAGGGAAAAAAATCAGAAGCAAACACATTAAGTAAATATATGATAACACAGAAAGCGAAGACAATCACAGAGGGCCTTTACAGGCAAATTAAAAATGAAATGTCAGTACAGAAGTTACTATACAATAAAGAAAATACAAACAAGTGTGT